ACTAAAGATGAGGGCCAGAGGAGGTTCCAGATTATCTGATGCATCTCCGTGATATCCTGCATTACCACGATTTGAGCTCTATGAGAGATCTTCGTGACAAGATGATACTGCGATAATAGATGTATACCGAAGAGAGCAGACACAAGATTAAAATAAGATATCCGGTGACACGTACGATGCAATACCAAGAGAGCAGCATTAAGACTTCAGGCCAGAGATAGTCCAGACACTACCGCTGCAGAGGCCAGAGAGGCCCGAAGACAAAGATTGACCTGAAGAGATGTCCCACAATTTCAAGATAGGACCAGGACAGTACCGAAATCCAGATGGAGAGAAGCCATCCCAGATGGCCAGACCAGGCACACCTAATAACGCGATGTGTTTAACTCGGTGACATCCAGACACACGGGGACAACAGTCCAGACACAAAATCAGGACCAGGGAAGAAAAAGAAATACGTGATGCATCTCGCGAGGTCAAGATACCGCGATTTAAACAGACCTAGATGCACCGAGACCATAAAAACAAGAAACAATATGTATCCAGGATAATCTAGACAAGCTGCATCCAGGCACCCCAGACACAAACCGTGACCAGTGGACTCACATTACTGCCAGAAACCAGAGGATCAAGACACCGATGGAGACCAGGGCACCCAGACACAAGATCGTGGACCAGACCCTGCGACACCGCATCCGAAAGAGGGATGAAGACACAAGATGGGGACCGATGGACTCAACACAAGATTAACTTCAGAGGGATCAAGACAAGATGGGAACTTAGGAATCAAGATAAGATCGACCAGAGGATGAAGACACAAGATGGGATCAGGAGGGATGAAGATACAAGATGGGGATCAGAGGGATCAAGATACGTAAGATGGGGATCAGAGGGATTGGAGACACAAGATAGGACTAGGAATCAAGACACAAGACGTGGGACTCAGAGGGATCAAGACACAAGATGATAAGAGGGATCAAGATACAAGATTGGGACATAAGAGGAATCCTTCAAGACAGGTGTTAGACCAGAGGGATCAAGACACAAGATGGGGACTAGGGACCAAGACAAGATCGACCAGAGGGATCAAGATACGTTGGGGACTACAGGGACTGGAGATTACAAAATGGGGACTAGGAATCAAGACATTTCGAAGATGGGGACTAGAGGGATCAAGACAAAGATAGACTAGAGGAGCCTGGCATAGGACTAAAAGCAAGATGGGGTTGGAGGATTAAAGTAGACAGAAGGTCAGGTTAGCCAGGGCACCAGCTGATTGCTTAGGCCTAGGGGATCCAGACACAAGATTGGTTCATATGGACTAGACTGAAGTTGAGTATAATGATAGAACCTCTAGAACAGATTGATTTCGATAAGGATGACCTTTGTAGCTTTATGCTCTAGAATAGACTACATCTGTCACAACAAAATACTTATACAAGAGTTAGACTTTCATCCTATCATCACAGAGAGTGATAGCACATGTTAAGCATAGAAGAGCATACAACCCTGAATGTAAAGCATCAAGCCAGGCCACCCTTACGTTACTGATGATAGTTGCATGTAATAGTCAGATGCACAAGCTCAGCGGATAATATAGGAGTTGCATGGTAATAGTCAGATGCACAAGCTCAGTGTTAATATAGGATATTTACCGCCTAGTTACTTCAAAATAGCTTCTTCCTTCTGGAGAACGCTCAGATAAGTTCATGCCGATTATCTTAAAATCAAAAGATGTTTTCAAATGAGACATCTCCAGGCCATGTTTATTAATTTATTCTTGATTCCGGATCAATGAATGAATATTTGGCGCAGTCATGCAGAAAGGAATCCATGATGTCTCACTTATTCATTTGTTGAATTGGATGACGGATTGCTAATTTTAATTACAGAAAGGTAATTGAGATTTATCAATACAGGAGGTAGCTTATGTTATAATACCGCCAGCGTACATCGGCAATGCCCAGCACAAGTGATCTTTACTAATTCTGGTATCAACAATTTCCATCAACAAATATCAATAATACTTTTATGACCATTGTGGAAAATACGGTTCTTAATATATCGCCTTCAAAATAGAGGAGGCCAGATTCAAATCGAACAACCTTCCTACTAAATAACGCAATATTCTTTAATCATATTGTTCTTTTATAAACACCTAGCATGTTGCATTTTTTCAGCTGCGAATAAATAACTAGCCAAGAAAGAATACAAAGGTTGATGTCCTACTAAATGAGTAAAACCTACGGTCATCCTTGACAATGTTCATGATGTAAGCAGGCAGTGTTAGTAGCAATTCACACTCCAGGAATATTTACCGTGACAATAGTCCTTTAGAATCTAGTGCGGAACAGATTAATCCAGTGATCTGCATCAAGACGTATCAATTCCATAGGTCAGGCGATGAAACCGTATGTCCTAGTTGGCTCCTTACAGCAATTATGCATTGGGCTGCCAATCCAGAATCAAATCTTCAAGTGAGGCAGAGCTTTAAACTGGTTCCGATGAAAACGCTTGAAAATCATACGCTAACGTTAAAGAAGCTGAAGCATCATTTATTATTGTAACCATTAAGGATTGAACTTGCGACCTTAAGATTGACAGAAAACAACGCTCGGTAACGTATAGTTTACTCCTTACGGCGCCCCTTATTAATACTGGTAATGAGTGAGCAAGCGAGTGAGTTGGTTTCAGTTTTACTTTAGCAATATTCCAGCAATATCACGCATGTGACAATTGCGTGAGCGATGAGCGATGAGTGATAGGTTTCATGCTGAATTTAGCAATATCCCATCACCGCAACAATGAGATGAGTGGAGTGGGTTTTGCTTAATCTTCTTTAGAAATATTACCGTGGAGAGCACCCACGTTAAGCCATACGAACTCCATGTTGCTTTTCGAACCTACGTATCGCTGTGATTTATGAACACTGTAAATTCACTCCGGGATTACTGCTTTCACCCCTGGTGAACTCCTGCACTTGTCTTTGCGACACACTTTACAAGTGAACGGGTAAGGATGGGGATAAGCATGCCTACGCCTACAAAGATTCGAAAATCTAATTTCATCGCTACCGTCAAATACATGCACAATTCAGCACAATATTGCTTCCAACTTTTGGCACATCACTACCAGGCTTCATCTATTGGTAAGTATTATATTTCACATCAATCCATCACGGCTATTCCAGGACACGAGGATAGCAATTTCTGATAGTCAGTAATATCTCCTTCCAGTTCCTACCTGACTTGTGATATAATACTGCATGTCCCTCTGCTGGTTGCCATTATGGCCGCTATGTGCCATTATATCAGCCACAAATCTTCTTAACATCTGAAACAGTTGGAGCCAGAAACGAGCATCATTAAACACTTCTGCATACAAAACTGAAATACACTCATGGTGACTCCTGATGCACATTTACAGCCCAATTCAGGAGGTTTCACAAACTTCACCCAAATAACTTTGGCGCACCAAGAGCTTTCCAGGGCTGACTACTTAGTGAATTAATCACATCCTTAATTGATTTTAGATTCCTGGCAGCGTCTGATATGAATCTAATTCATAGATTACCGCTACTGGCCACTTCTATGCCATCAGAACCGCTGAGCCCAACTGGCAACATTTCAGCGATGTAACTTCATTGGAGTTTGATGACTGGACAATGGAGGCATCGGATTTGTTATGCGATTATTCGTCTTCATTACGCACTTTACTGTCAGTTGTTCTATCTGTCCATTATCAATCATCTATATGAAACAAACATTAATTGCTAATCAAAGCAAAAACATGATGAAAAATAATGGTTGCTTGGTTGGTTATGTTCATAATCACATCTGAATTCTGTACACTTAAGCCTTTACCTGCAACATCTTTTTCCAAAATGCGCTCACACTATCTCAGTATGTTGTTTCCTCTACGTCTTTCAAGAGGATGTTGCTTCACCAGATAAGGAAAGCGCATGCGAGTGAGCTGCGTAATGCAATCTCCTGACGCTATCGAAGTCGTGATTATCTTTGCGACAGTTAATGGCGGAGTTCGAGATAATCTTACAGACAGTAATGGTTCGAGAAACTCCTGCAACAATTGCTGGCCTCTGGCAACCTACCTACGATAATCAAGAAAGTTTTACTCTGAATATGAACTCACAGGAACCCACGTTAATACTGGGGATGTCAATTTGTGCATAACAATCAGGTCCCAGGATGATCAGCACCACTCCAGCGTTCCCCACATGGAGTAAGTAAAATCGTAGTAATCATTATAGTAATACTGAGGCCATGAGGTCCGTCACAACAAAATAACGTGATCAACACTTCAGAACATGAGCAACATACACTTGTTCTCATCAAACTAAAAGTTCATTATGACAACTGAAGGGCTAAAGAAAACGTTTACCGCCTTTGAAATTGAAATTACTAAAATTCCTGCATAGCTGCGTAAATCATCATCACATAAAACACATCACCTAACCGCAAATAACGAGTTTTCCACCTGAAAATAGCAGCATGCAATGCATGCTTTTTCACCAATTTGTCCATTATATATTTGCATGCCACTTAAAAGCGAAGATTAAATGCCAAATGGCATAAAACCAATGCAAATGTAAGCCACAGTCAGACATCTATTCTTTTAAAAACACTCAAAAGAATGGCACGATTAACTGGCGATAACGGTAGAATGCATGCATCGGAATGACAAAATGGGATCAATACCACCCACTTCACAAGAAGGCTGGCTGTCATCGCTACTTTCACCGCTACCGGTGATCTACGCAGGATACCGCCAGACAGGACCGGACTCGAAGATATAGCCTACCACGGTCAGTGGTGACCTCGCTCAAGCAACTCTGTGAGAATCCAGTAAGATTCGCTCCATGCTGCATCCTTGAAACCGCTTCTTGACGGTGACGCTAATCGCAGCGCGGCATGGCTTGGTCACCGTGCTCGCATACATGCAGCCAGATGACAGAGGTGCTTATGAATCCGGTTTCATAGACCTTTCCGACAGCAGTTGACTGCCAACATCGTCGGGATGACTTCATTCACACGTCCGGAACCAATGTTGCAGCAATGAGTGGCAGATATTGCCATATCCTCTGATGAAAGCTCTTCTCTGTTCATCTTTGTTTTATGGATCTTATCTTTTGCTATTATTTCAATAATGTGTTTCTTTAATCTATATTTGCGTTTCTTTAGGCCCATCATTTGCTACAGGCATTTCTTTGTAAGCAGACAGACGACAAAGCAGATGCTTCACTGACAACAACTCTTTAATATACCGGGAATAATGGCGACGGTCCAGATTCACGCATTTACAGGCCAGTGAATAAATTTGTAACAAATGGCGATGTAGATATGGTAGGAAAGGAGGCAATACAATCAATATCAGCATTCGGCAACATTTAGTATGATATAAAAGAAATAGGATATTATTTCCATAAGCTTTTGTTTTCGGACAAATCGACTACTATACGTAATATGATAAAATATGCTGAATCAACTGAAGAATAATTTCACAGAACCATGCCTTGATAAAATTCATTTCAGTCATGGTTTCCAGATGACTGATGATACTACGCCAATGTGCCTTTAGATACAAAATAATAGAAATAAACGAAATCTCTATAATGCCCTACTGCCATTCAGGAATATGACCTATATTACTCTGGTCACTGATCACAGTGCATTTTGTCTCAGCTACTCTGGGAGGTATTATTTACCATGGCGATCTGTAAGGTGTGAGAATACTGCCATAACATGACATCTATTCCATCCTACCAGGTACCTATCTACCGCTATGAACAGGAGGCATATTTCAAACAGTTTTTAGTAATTCCACTACATGTTAGATGTTAGGCCGACCTTTTCAATAATCAGCCGCCAAACACGCTTTCGCCACCTATCATTCCAGATCTAGCAATCAATATTGCTTTAACTTTTTGTTTATTTTAGGCGACCAATTTTGTTAAAGGATCGGTCATCACCACAAATCATTTCTGACTAAAGTGGCTATGTTTCCTTATTACATTAAACAACAATCCATTTGAAAGTGGTAAAACCTAAAACGCTTCGTTTAAATCCGCACACTGCAAAATTCAATAATATTCATTGGTGAAACAGGATATATGTTCATTGAATCATCAATCTTAATTAGTTCAAATACATTCTAAGACCAGTCACCCAACACTGTCATACTTGTCAAGGAAGACCAGTTGTCACCGTGATAGTACACCCAACACTTCATCATACTTTGTCAAGGAAGACCAGTTGTCACCGTGATAGTACACCCAACACTGTCATACTTTGTCAAGGAAGACCAGTTGTCACCGTGATAGTACAATCTACTGCATACTCTTCAGCTGTCACCGTGATAGTACAACACTGTCATAATTTGCCGGAGGAAGACCAGTTGTCACCGTGATAGTAGTACACCCAACACCGTCATACTTGTCAAGGAAGACCAGTTGTCACCGTGATAGTACACCCAACACTGTCATACTTTGTCAAGGAATACCAGTTGTCACCGTGATAGTACACCCAACACTGTCATACTTGTCGGCGGAAGACCAGTTGTCACCGTGATAGTACACCTCAACACTGTCATCTCTGTCATAATAGTGTCAAAGTGATAGTACCAGTTGTCACGGTGATAGTGATAGTACACTCAACACTGTCATACTTGTCAAGGAAGACCAGTTGTCACCGTGATAGTACACCCAACACCGTCATACTTGTCAAGGAAGACCAGTTGTCACCGTGATAGTACACTCCAACACTGTCATACTTGTCAAGGAAGACCAGTTGTCACCGTGATAGTACACCCAACACTGTCATACTTGTCAAGGAAGACCAGTTGTCACCGTGATAGTACACCCAACACTGTCATACTTGTCAAGGAAGACCAGTTGTCACCGTGATAGTACACTCCAACACTCGTCATACTTGTCAAGGAAGACCAGTTGTCACCGTGATAGTACAACCAGCTCTAACACTGTCATACTTTGTCAAGGAAGACCAGTTGTCACCAGTGATGAGTACACCCAACACTGTCATACTTGTCAAGGAAGACCAGTTGTCACCGTGATAGTACACCCCAACACTGTCATACTTGTCAAGGAAGACCAGTTGTCACCGTGATAGTACATCCAACACTGTCTTCTTACCTGTCAAGGAATTCCAGTTGTCACCGTGATAGTACACCCAACACTGTCATACTTGTCAAGGAAGACCAGTTGTCACCGTGATAGTACACCCAACACTGTCATACTTGTCAAGGAAGACCAGTTGTCACGGTGATAGTACACCCAACACTGTCATACTTGTCAAGGAAGACCAGTTGTCACCGTGATAGTACACCCAACACTGTCATACTTGTCAAGGAAGACCAGTTGTCACCGTGATAGTACACCCAACACTGTCATACTTGTCAAGGAAGACCAGTTGTCACCGTGATAGTACACCCAACACTGTCATACTTGTCAAGGAAGACCAGTTGTCACCGTGATAGTACACCCAACACTGTCATACTTGTCAAGGAAGACCAGTTGTCACCGTGATAGTACACCCAACACTGTCATACTTGTCAAGGAAGACCAGTTGTCACCGTGATAGTACACTAACACTGTCATACTTGTCAAGGAAGACCAGTTGTCACCGTGATAGTACACCCAACACTGTCATACTTGTCAAGGAAGACCAGTTGTCACCGTGATAGTACACCCAACACTGTCATACTTGTCAAGGAAGACCAGTTGTCACCGTGATAGTACACCCAACACTGTCATACTTGTCAAGGAAGACCAGTTGTCACCGTGATAGTACAATCTAACAACGTGTCAAGGAAGACCAGTTGTCACCGTGATAGTACACCCAACACTGTCATACTTGTCAAGGAAGACCAGTTGTCACCGTGATAGTACACTCAACACTGTCATACTTGTCAAGGAAGACCAGTTGTCACCGTTGATTGTCAGTACACCCAACACTGTCATACTTGTCAAGGAAGACCAGTTGTCACCGTGATAGTACACTCCAACACTGTCATACTTGTCAAGGAAGACCAGTTGTCACCGTGATAGTACATCCAACACTGTCATACTTGTCAAGGAAGACCAGTTGTCACCGTGATAGTACACCCAACACTGTCATACTTGTCAAGGAAGACCAGTTGTCACCGTGATAGTACACCCTAACACTGTCATACTTTGTCAAGGAAGACCAGTTGTCACCGTGATAGTACATCCAACACTGTCATACCTGTCAAGGAAGACCAGTTGTCACCGTGATAGTACATCCAACACTGTCATACTTGTCAAGGAAGACCAGTTGTCACCGTGATAGTACACCCAACACTGTCATACTTGTCAAGGAAGACCAGTTGTCACCGTGATAGTACACTCAACACTGTCATACTTGTCAAGGAAGACCAGTTGTCACCGTGATAGTACACCCAACACTGTCATACTTGTCAAGGAAGACCAGTTGTCACCGTGATAGTACACCCAACACTGTCATACTTGTCAAGGAAGACCAGTTGTCACCGTGATAGTACATCCAACACTGTCATACTTGTCAAGGAAGACCAGTTGTCACCGTGATAGTACACCCAACACTGTCATACTTGTCAAGGAAGACCAGTTGTCACCGTGATAGTACACCCAACACTGTCATACTTGTCAAGGAAGACCAGTTGTCACCGTGATAGTACACCCAACACTGTCATACTTGTCAAGGAAGACCAGTTGTCACCGTGATAGTACACCCAACACTGTCATACTTGTCAAGGAAGACCAGTTGTCACCGTGATAGTACACCCAACACTGTCATACTTGTCAAGGAAGACCAGTTGTCACCGTGATAGTACACCCAACACTGTCATACTTGTCAAGGAAGACCAGTTGTCACCGTGATAGTACATCCAACACTGTCATACTTGTCAAGGAAGACCAGTTGTCACCGTGATAGTACACCCAACACTGTCATACTTGTCAAGGAAGACCAGTTGTCACCGTGATAGTACATCCCAACACTGTCATACTTGTCAAGGAAGACCAGTTGTCACCGTGATAGTACACCCTAACACTGTCATACTTGTCAAGGAAGACCAGTTGTCACCGTGATAGTACACCCAACACTGTCATACTTGTCAAGGAAGACCAGTTGTCACCGTGATAGTACACTCCAACACTGTCATACTTGTCAAGGAAGACCAGTTGTCACCGTGATAGTACACCCAACACTGTCATACTTGTCAAGGAAGACCAGTTGTCACCGTGATAGTACATCCAACACTGTCATACTTGTCAAGGAAGACCAGTTGTCACCGTGATAGTACACCCAACACTGTCATACTTGTCAAGGAAGACCAGTTGTCACCGTGATAGTACACCCAACACTGTCATACTTGTCAAGGAAGACCAGTTGTCACCGTGATAGTACACCCAACACTGTCATACTTGTCAAGGAAGACCAGTTGTCACCGTGATAGTACATCCAACACTGTCATACTTGTCAAGGAATTCCAGTTGTCACCGTGATAGTACACCCAACACTGTCATACTTGTCAAGGAAGACCAGTTGTCACCGTGATAGTACACCCAACACTGTCATACTTGTCAAGGAAGACCAGTTGTCACCGTGATAGTACACCCAACACTGTCATACTTGTCAAGGAAGACCAGTTGTCACCGTGATAGTACACTCAACACTGTCATACTTGTCAAGGAAGACCAGTTGTCACCGTGATAGTACACCCAACACTGTCATACTTGTCAAGGAAGACCAGTTGTCACCGTGATAGTACACCCAACACTGTCATACTTGTCAAGGAAGACCAGTTGTCACCGTGATAGTACACCCAACACTGTCATACTTTGTCAAGGAAGACCAGTTGTCACCGTGATAGTACACTCAACACTGTCATACTTGTCAAGGAATTCCAGTTGTCACGGTGATAGTACACCCAACACTGTCATACTTGTCAAGGAAGACCAGTTGTCACCGTGATAGTACACCCAACACTGTCATACTTGTCAAGGAAGACCAGTTGTCACCGTGATAGTACACCCAACACTGTCATACTTGTCAAGGAAGACCAGTTGTCACCGTGATAGTACACCCCAACACTGTCATACTTGTCAAGGAAGACCAGTTGTCACCGTGATAGTACACCCAACACTGTCATACTTGTCAAGGAAGACCAGTTGTCACCGTGATAGTACACTCAACACTGTCATACTTGTCAAGGAAGACCAGTTGTCACCGTGATAGTACACCCAACACTGTCATACTTGTCAAGGAAGACCAGTTGTCACCGTGATAGTACACTCCAACACTGTCATACTTGTCAAGGAAGACCAGTTGTCACCGTGATAGTACACCTCAACACTGTCATACTTGTCAAGGAAGACCAGTTGTCACCGTGATAGTACACTCAAACACTGTCATACTTGTCAAGGAAGACCAGTTGTCACCGTGATAGTACACCCAACACTGTCATACTTGTCAAGGAAGACCAGTTGTCACCGTGATAGTACACCCAACACTGTCATACTTTGTCAAGGAAGACCAGTTGTCACCGTGATAGTACACCCAACACTGTCATACTTGTCAAGGAAGACCAGTTGTCACCGTGATAGTACACTCTAACACTGTCATACTTGTCAAGGAAGACCAGTTGTCACCGTGATAGTACACCCAACACTGTCATACTTGTCAAGGAAGACCAGTTGTCACCGTGATAGTACACCCAACACTGTCATACTTGTCAAGGAAGACCAGTTGTCACCGTGATAGTACACCCAACACTGTCATACTTGTCAAGGAAGACCAGTTGTCACCGTGATAGTACACTCCAACACTGTCATACTTGTCAAGGAAGACCAGTTGTCACCGTGATAGTACATCCAACACTGTCATACTTGTCAAGGAAGACCAGTTGTCACCGTGATAGTACACTCAACACTGTCATACTTGTCAAGGAATTCCAGTTGTCACCGTGATAGTACACTCAACACTGTCATACTTGTCAAGGAAGACCAGTTGTCACCGTGATAGTACACTCAACACTGTCATACTTGTCAAGGAAGACCAGTTGTCACCGTGATAGTACACCCAACACTGTCATACTTGTCAAGGAAGACCAGTTGTCACCGTGATAGTACACTCAACACTGTCATACTTGTCAAGGAATTCCAGTTGTCACCGTGATAGTACACCCAACACTGTCATACTTGTCAAGGAAGACCAGTTGTCACCGTGATAGTACACCTCAACACTGTCATACTTGTCAAGGAAGACCAGTTGTCACGGTGATAGTTAGGTCTGTAACGATGTATCGAACAATCGATGGATTGCAATTGCTGAGTCTCCGATGGCAATTAATCGATGGCAGAAACGAAAAACTATTAATGCATTGATAGTATGTATGACTATCAATAGTTAAATAAGTGACTTCCGTTGATCAATGCACAGCGCAAAATACAGAAAATACCAGATTCCTTCACTTTGATTTATCCGCCCGTTACCTCTTAAACAAACCTAATCTAGATTTCAAAGTTTCTTGTCAGTTATTAAAGAGACTGAAACTACAGCAGCTTGTTTTATTTCATTTAAACTACACATTCATTTGGGAAATGAGACAATTCAATGAGAGAAAAAAACTATTGAAATAGACTATCGCCCTCAATAGTCACCCCTAGTGATACTACACCCAACACTGCCATAACCAGTTGCTACGGAAATCGTATACATGGAACTGTCATATATGTCCAGGAATACCAGTTGTTACGGGAATAGTACACAAGGCACTATCGGCTCTTACCGTATCTCCTCATCCAGTCCGGGTTTAACATAGGTATTTATATGTCAATACAGAAGCCACTGAAACTGATATAAAACCTCGCTAAACGGCGCGTCCCTGTTGATGGCGGAACGAATTGTACACACAAAGCCAACTGTCCTGGTTCTCTTTAGTTTCCTAACGACTGAATCGTTAATCGGATATCTAGAGAACGACCGATTTGATTGTTGCGGCGTGCTTCATTGCGTGTGTACATGTGATCTTGACCTTTCGGCCAATACCAGAGTTTTAGAAACATCTACTTTACACTCAACCAGACAGAAAACGCACTTCCACCACCCACTCTGACAGTAGACTCACATCGACCACGCACTCTGACAGTAGACTCACATCGACCACGCACTCTGTCTGACAGTAGACTCACATCGACCACGCACAGTCTGACAGTAGACTCACATCGACCACGCACTGTCTGACAGTAGACTCACATCAACCACGCACTCTGACAGTAGACTCACATCGACCACGCACTCTGACAGTAGACTCACATCGACCACGCACTCTGACAGTACTCACATCAACATCAACGACCTACATCAACCACAGATTTCCACAGTAGACTCACATCGATCACACACTTTAGTGTCGCGTAGACTTTGTATATCACCGTAAAGAACCCTTGGGAATTACCTGGAACCTGACACATAAACAGATATGTAATATCTACACTCTTCAAAAAATAAAATAAAATAAATAGAAACGCATGTTCATTTTTTTTCCTTCATTAAGACATCAGTTTCCTTTGTTTGAATCCCGTCAATCATGTCCGGGTTGTTGTGTATTGCGCGCAAACGCCTCCCCAAGTGTGTTGTAAACGTTTGTCATAGAAAATGAAAACGATAGTATCCAAGTAATGCCCGTGCAGTGTAACATGAGTAGAAATATCGACTATGAAAGGCAAACCCAAATTCATCATTTCGTTACGAAATTTACGACGTAAACGAAGATAAAAAAACTGCCAAGATTGAATGCTACTGACGGAAATATCGCCATTGGAGGTTTGGAAGCAGGTGAGTCTCAGTCTGCTGTTGCAAGACACTTCAACGTCCACCACAGCACCACATCACGACTATAGCATCCATATACCCGCTTCAATTCGACCCACGATCGTCCCAGAAGTGGAAGACCAAGAGTGACCACTCCTATTCAGGACCGATTCATCCGGGTGTTTCACCTACGTTTTGTTAGAGCAACGGACACTGGAGGTCAGGTGCCTGGTCTTCGAAGAATTTCCGACCAAACCATCAGAAATCGTTTGAGAGAAGTGGGAATTCGAGCATATCGACCAAATGTTGGATCTGTCCTGACACGACTACACCGACATCGACGTGTCCAATGGTGCAACAGGGTACAGGCACTGAACCTGGGGACGGGCGACTCGTTTGGTTCAGCGATGAATCGCGTTTCCTCCGGCCACGACGGGATGAGAGACAACGTGTCTATCAACGTCGACACGATCGTTTTGCGCGGAACTGCGTTCGACAGGTGGACAGATTTGGTGGAGACCGCGTCATGGTGTGGGGAGCCATGTCCTACACGGGTAGATCAGAGCTAGTGGTGGTTCAAGGCATCTTACAGCAAATCGCTACATCGACCAAATCCTGCGACCTCACCTTGTCGCAGCCAGAGGGAACTGTTTCAACACGACAACGCTCGACCCCACACATGTCGTGTAACTGGTGCCTATGTCGCCAGTGCAGACGTCAATGCCCTTCCCTGGCCTTCCAAATCACCTGATCTGACCCCGATCGAGCATCTATGGAACGAACTTGATCGACACGTCTGTAAACGTCACCATCGTCCTCAGACACTTGCAGAACTTGCCAAGGTGTTGCAGGAGGAATGGTGGAGAATTCCCCAGGCAAAAATCTGACCCTGTGTTTTCTTTGACGTCTTTGAGTGGTATACATAGTTATGTTGATATGTTCCTTAATGGAGCGTCTGTTTGGTCCCAACATGTACCCTGGTTCTAACTGTTCTGAGGTAGACCATCCCTGCCCACATGATCGGTTGATCATTCGTGTGTGTTGTTGGATTGCAAGTATCATGTATTTTGAATAAATATTGTATTTAGCGAGCCTTGATGAACTAAATACATATAACATATTTCCTTCTAATACAGATTATGTATCATCAGCAAAATGATTTATAATCTACTTATAATTAAATGCTATTCTGAAATTCTATCGTCATAATAATCCACATAATTCTTTGATTGACATTCAAGCAATTTGTTGAAAGAGTAAGAATGTGTTGTAAGTATACGCATATACAGACGTTGTTATTCATAAAGTTGGCAAAAAAATACCATGCAGGCTAAAAGACAAGACGCCGTCCGTCTGTCCGGAGCATAATTAAAAGACCGTTCAATATTTCATATATCAAACAGAACCTAAAGTGGCGCCTTTTACTATTTGCAGATTTTTGTCATTTGTATCTTTCTGGATCAATTTGGAAGTGTGGATTTTGTTTCCGGAGCATAACTAAAAAAATCGTTCAATATCTATCAATAAAACTTGGCAGTTATATGAGGCAGATCCAAAAGTGGTGCCTTTTGTTATTTGCAGATTTTTTTTGACTTTGTTTAAACATTCTTGTGTATTACATTTGACCATTGGTGTAATACACGAACAAAAACGTCGAAATATGCACTTATGGTGTTTTTGAAGTAAATAAAGAAAGTACAATCAAAACAACTGCAAACAATCCATGCAGATCGTTATTGTGAATGTTTGTGTCATTAGAGTGGAGAATATACATGGCGTTCTTCATACCTTTTTGTAGATGTGTCCTTGAACTTTCGGCCAGTACCAGATCTTCAGAAACTTCCGGTTGGATTGTTCTTTTTGAATTTAAATCAAAGCAATTCCCCGAAAGAAAGAGTTATATATTAAACAATTTAAAAGCGACCTGCGCAGTAATTATAAAATGGATTGAGATAAAATTTTGAAATATTTTCTTATCATTATTCAGTTATTACCATACCGGAACACTGCTACAATTATATACTTTATATACTAAGTCGTGTGAATGTATGAGGAGGAGAAAAACACATAAACACTTCCACATACATAATCCAGCTAGGCCCCCATATGGATTATACTTGTGCCAGTTTGGTTCCGAAGTAGACCGAACGGGCTACCATTAAGGATCTCTTTTCCAGCCCACACTGTCCGCATATGGACCAAACCTATTTTTGCAGGCTGGGTTCTTGTAAGACGCCAGAACTTGGAACGAGTGATTAGAAATCAACTTCTTCGCCAGAGTACAAGATTTGTATAAATGCAGCCAATTATTTTCGATTTACGACTTGTACACTTAACTCGGCAGACATGAACACCTTGAGAAACGCTGTTTTAGTTATGACCGCATATTCCATGTTCTAAGCGTAGTTGTGTAACAGCGCGAGTTGGCGTGTAGTTTGTTGCGAGTAGTCTCTGTTGTGTGTACGCCCAGCAGGTGATCCTGAGATACAGCGATACAGTATGCATACAATGCCGGCATCTCGTCACCAGGCAGTCGGAAGTGAGAAACACGTCAGTGTGAATAACCACTTCACCTACCGCTTCTTCAGTGTCTTGGTAGAATGGAACGCCATTGAGATTTTTTTGTTGTCATAAAGGCAACAACTGTCTTGTGTGTTGTTCAACGGTGCACTCGGCAGCATTGCAGCTTGTTTACGGCGGTCTGTAAATAATCGAGACAACCCAGTGATTGACAGCACGAGCATCGATCTATTCATCTGGGATGCCGTGACGTGTGTCAACCAAGTCAGCGAGCCTGACCACCCACTCCCGTTAGTCACCGACAAGCATGGGTTGGTGAATATGAATTTTAAACCGGATCTTAACTGGTCTCATTTAAACTATCTAAAGCTATTGTGTATCTGGGTGGATGCTGTAAATGCTGTACAAATTCCAGACACATCTGTAACATGACGAGAACCGTTAGAAACAACTACATATATGCGTTTGTTCCCTAACGCCAAACTCTTCATATCGTAACTATATGACCTCTCAGCCTGCATACAAAAGACATCACTCCTTGTGAAAGATTCTTGATGAGGCCATTTATCAACAAGGACGAGTTCAGTGAGAACGGCACTTTCCAGAAGAAGAATCCACGAGGAAGAATGCACCATGACGTCACTTGTTGCCTCAAGGAATAGTCCCGATGGCCACGGACGCTGTCTGGTCTTGAGCTCCTGATCACACGTTCGATCCAACACAGAGAACAACCTTGCAACGTGCCTCTGCTTGTTTCTTTAGACTCATCAATGTTTTGTATGTGTATACAGTATTTTTAGCACCTGATGTACTTTCACTACTATAACAGGTCTAATACTGGGTCATTAAACGTCTCAATTTCAACCCAATTGTTTGAATTTTATCTTTTAGTTTAGCTTTGACGGCCTTCTGTCCTTTCTTAAGTGTTCTTTCTATAAACACATTTAAATCAAAACCTTCAAGGTTTATCAAAGCCCAAAACAAATGAGGAAACTTTTGTTTGAAAGCCGTCTGCAACGTCTGACATTTTCTCGTCTCCTCTGCGCGCTGTAAACATTTAGCCTTCCCCCATATCGCCCTCACGTAGATG